GAAAGCAGCGCGTTCCCGGAATAAGAGAGGAACTCCCCGATTCTGATGATAGGATGGCAAATTGAAGTCCAGCGCCTGAAGGCCTGGGTAGATCAGGATCTGAGCACGCAGCCTGGGGAGGTCTGCTCTGCCTGCCAGGGTCTGGCTAACAGCAGCCGCTAGATTGCCCCCAGCACTGTCCCCACAGACACTGATCTGGGCAGGATCCACCCCATAGTGCTCTGTACTCCGCATGAAGTGTACGGTGGCATTAAGACAATCTTCATATGCAGCAGGGTATTTGTGCTCAGGAGCTAAACGATACCTAATGCATAACAGACAAGTACAGGAAAAGGAAATATCATTAGTGTTAATCAGGGAGTTTTATCCTACACTACCTTCAAGCCAATTCATTACCTCCTGAGCAGGCATTTCCCAGCTAGTGGTTGCAGATAACACGTAACTTGTGTGTTCAACTACAAGAATTGTTAAGAAACAATGAACTTTTTTTAATTAATTTCTTCATTGTGCTACGTATTCATGACAAGATAATTTAATGATTTTTTGCCTCTATTTCCTATGTGTAAAATGGGAGTAACACAGCATGATTATTCTCTTTCTTGTGTAAATTACAAACATTTGGAGCATCTTGTTACATGTTCACATGTTCAGCACAAAGAAGATTTGTTCTACCTAAGTTTTAAATTAGATTTCCTTTGTGTGCCTTGTATCTCCTTCCTGGTGTATCAGTGCGTTAACAGCTACGCGCTGGGAAATCACAGCTGTCATTATTTGTCTCTTTTCCTATGCTGAATTCTTTAGAAATTTCTCTGTAAAAAATAACATCTCGAGAAACAGTGCAGCTCTGTGTGGCACCCCAGCAGCAGTAATCTCTGAGCAGTAGGACTGGGTCGGGTTGACTTACTGAACGGATACAACTACGGATTCACTTTCTCTGGATAAGTAGCGGCACACTTTTTCATAGGTATCTGGAAAAGAAAGGCTTTCATGAGTGCTTTGTCTTTGAGACATGGAAGGGGTGTTCATTTCTAGGAAGGTGTTTATTTGACTTCATGCTTTCTCCAAAATCCCATGCTGAAAGTTCCTCTTCTTTCAGTGCAATGAAAACATGAAAATGTTATATTTAAGTTACTACAATTCCTCCAGCAAATGTCTTACCGAGACTTCCAAACACCCATCCTCCTCCATGGAAGAAGAGGATGCCTCTCCTTCGCCCATGAGATGTGGCTTTTGGCTGGTACACCCTCACAGGTACTTTGTTAAACTGCAGATCCTGGATAAACAGCTTCGGGTCCACCCTCTGCCTCCATCCTTGTCGCACGTATCGGCCAAAAGTGATTTGGCTGCAAAGTCCTGTCTTCTCCAAAATCCTTCCCTGTTCAAAGTTAAGAATTGAGGCCTTTTTAAAAGTCTTGGTTTAGCCAACATATAAAAAGCCCCACATCACCCGTTGGTGTTCTATAAAAAAAGGTAATGATTACAGTATAAGAAGTTAGAATAACTACCATGAAGACCACTGAGAGAAGAAGATAATGGCTATGAAAGCATCTCCTAAACTGTCTCTAAATGGCTTCTTGTATTCTACAGTTTGAGTTCATTCTCATTGGTTGTTTAGTCATTTTTTTGCCTTCACAAACACATGGAAAACAATGAGGAAATGCAACTTGGCAACTCATAGAATCATAGAATCACAGAATGGCCTGGCTTGAAAAGGAGCACAACGCTCATCCAGTTCCAACCCCCTGCTGTGTGCAGGTCACCAACCAGCAGCCCAGGCTGCCCAGAGCCACATCCAGCCTGGCCTTGAATGCCTGCAGGGATGGGGCATCCACAGCCTCCTTGGGCAGCCTGTGCCACTGCCTCACCACCCTCTGGGTGAAAAACTTCCTCCTAACATCCAACCTAAACCTCCCCTGTCTCAGTTTAAGACCATTCCCCCTTGTCCCATCACCATCCACCCTCGTAAACAGCTGTTACCCTTCCTGCTTATACTCTCCCTTCAAGTATTAGATTGGTTTTCTTGATAAGAATGCTCACTTCCAAGAAAGTGTGAGATCTCAGGATAAAGTCAAAAAGCAATCATATCCATACCTGGATTCGGCCTACCAAGGAGGGAAGTTCTACCTTAAATCATCTGGAATCTTCCAGATCGTATTCTAAAGAATCAGATGTGGAAGTCCAGGCTTCACAGACGGCAGTTGGAGAGTTTATCAGTTGTCTGATAAAAATAAAGCTCTTTCATTCAGGAAAAACAGATTTCCCAAGCTCTCACTTCCTACAGTGAGTAAAAATCCTACTTCCTTTACTTAAATCCACCGTTGAACTCATGTCACATTACACATTTTATAAAGGCTATCCAAATTGGCAATCCTGGAGTATGTATTTTAATCATCAGTCTTGCCCAGCACACCTCAGTGCTCATTCTGGTCTATTTACACTTAATCAGAGCAATTAAATTAAATACACAGAAACATGCTCATGAACTCTTACAAAGCTCTTCATTGCACAAACCAATACTCTTGAATAAAGCTTGGTGGATTCGTAAGTGCTTAATGCTGAGAGGCATCGTGCAAGTTTTATTGGTTTTATTTGCACAACAGCAATGAACAGAAGCATGCATCCCTTCCCAATGCTCCTGCAATGCGCTGGGCTGGAATATAAACCTGCTGCGAGGAGTGGATGAGGGGAAGGTGGGAACAACACGGAGGGGTTCAAACACAGTGTGGTGCATCGTGCTGAGCAAGATGCCCGCTTTAAAAATGCTTCATGAGGGCGTTTCTTTATCCGTCCCCTTGCCACACTGTGGGAGGACTCAGGAGGGCCCGCTGCGAGGGGATGGATGTGGTGTAAGCAGCTGCAGGAGGGCGGGATGTGCACAGTCAGCAAAGGGAACGCTGTGGCGAAAGGCGCGGAGGAGATTTTTAAACAACTCAAAGGAGCTGTAAAGTGCGAGAGGAAGAGTTGAGCAGAGCTCTAATGCCGTTTATGCAACGCTGTAAAAGTGAGTCCAGGGATTAAGTAAAGCAGCCCTAACCGGATTTGGTCCCATAAATGTCAGCGGTGGCAGGAGCAAGTTGCAGGGCCGTTCCTTGGGCAAGGTGACTTCGCCCCCAGCCCGGCGCACTTAGCAACGAATCGCCGGCTCAGCTCCGCTACTCGCATCGTCGCCGCCCTTCGCCAACCTGCCTGCGAGCCCGGCGTGCCGCCCCGCATCGCGACATCCGTTTGCCCAAACGGATGCCGGCCTTCCCCGTCCTCCGCAGCCCCGAGCGTCGCCCCGACGGCCCCGATCCCCGCGTCCTCCCGGCTCGCGACCCACCGACCCGCCCCACTCACCAGGGCCGCCGTGCCCAGCAGGACGGCCAGCACCAGGCGCAGCTTGGCAGGCTGGTTCACCCCGGCCGGGATGTCGTAGCTGGGCAGTCCGAGCAGCACGGTGCCCAGCACCAGCCCCGCCAGGGGCACGAGCAGAGCGAGCAGCAGCAGCAGCAGCAGCACCGCCGCCGGCACCGCCATGGCCCGCCGGCCGCCCCGCGGGGCTCCCCGGCCCGCAGCGGGGCCAGGCTGCGGCCGCCCCCCTCCTGCAGGCCGACGGCGTCACGGGTCGTTTGTGACAGCTCCGCAAAGCCGCGGCCCGGGGTCATGCTGCGAGCCCGGGGGGAGGCCGTAATCTGCCGGAGGGGAGGCGCGGCGTGACCCGGACCTCACGGATGCTCGGGGTCCGCGGGGCTGCCGGCGGTGCCTGGAGCGGCGTCCTGCGGGAGGGACGGAGCTGTGCGGGGGGACGGAGGATCTTCGGGAGGCAGAGCGAGCGGTTGTGTCATTGCGTGTCATTGCCCGGCCGTCCTGACTGCTGGAGAAAAACCACCGCCTCGCTGTATCCCCAGGGAAATCCGAAGTGTAGCGTTTATTCTGCAAAAATCTCCTGTTTCCTCAGTCTTAGTCTTAGGATTTGTTTTTCTTTTTTTTTT